ACTGTTGGTGAGAAGACATCAGGAGGAACAGAGGTGCCAAGTTCAAGGCCATTTTCACACTCCTGCCTGAGCTGGGAGGTGGCACCTCTGCTTGGGCATTGCTGAAAGCTGTGGGGGGTGGGAGGGAGCATCACGTGAGGTTGAGAATGTGGGTTCTGGAATCAGACAGATGTGAACCTGAATCCTGGATCCACCTCTCACTGAGCGTTTGACCTCAGCAAAACTACTCTACCCTCTGGGCCTTAGTCTCGTCATCTGGAAGAAGTAATAAATAAATAAATAAATAAATAAATAAATAAATAAATATATGCTTGTCCACTATCTAGAACTGTGGCAACGATTAAATGAGATCTGGTGTTGGCCCACCAGTAAATTTGCCTCAAGAACAAACCAGAAGAACAGTGATGGCTCATGTCAGACTTGAAGCAACTTTTTTTTTAAACCAAGTAAAAATGATCAATGTGCCAATTCTGTGCCGGGCCTTGGGATTTTTACAGGGAATATAATTGAAAGCAAAACAGGAACAAATGGGCAAACTTTCTGGCCGGGCACCAGTGGCTCATTCCTATAATCCTAGCTACTCAAGAGACAGAAATCAGGAGGGTCATGGTTTGAAGCCAGCCAGGGCAAATAGTTCATAAACCCTATCTCAAAAAAACCCTTCACAAAAATAGGGATGGTGGAGTAAGTTCAAGCCCCAGTACTGCAAATAAATAAAAAAAATAAAAATTTTTTTTAAAAAGGGCAAACTCTCTGCCTTCATGAGGCCTCCTAATAGTAAGTCATCTTCAAAAACACAAAGCGCTGGGCTGTGCGGCATTGGTGGTATAGTGGTGAGCATAGCTGCCTTCCAAAAACACAAAGAGGTGAGTGAGGTGGCTCATGCCTGTAATCCTATCTACTTGGGAGGCAGAGATTGGGAGGATGGTGGTTTGAGGCCAGCCTGGGCTAAAAGTTAGGGATACCTCATCTCACCAATAAAGCTAGGTGTGGTGGTACCCATCTCTGATCCCAGTGAGAAGTGTGGATAGGAGGATTGTGGTTTTTCTGGACCAGGTATAAATAGGAGACCCTATTTGAAAAATAATGAATGTAAAAATGGCTGGGGCATGACTCAGTGGTAGAGCACCTGCCTAGCAAATATAAGGCCCAAGTTCAAATCCCAGTACAGAAAACAATGTGAATGGGGGGAAGGGGTTGCGGGAAAGCCCAGTAAACAAGAATGTGAGGCCATTGAAGGTTTCTCTGGGGACACCATGTTTGAGCTGAATCCTAAAGGAAAGGAGTAGGATGGTGCATGTCAGGTGGGAAAAGCACGGTGGGGGCTGGCGGGGGGGAGAAGGAAGCAATGTGAAAGGCCATGTTGGGGAAGGGACCCTGGAGAGCTGGCAGGACCAGACCTCACCAGGCCTGTGGCTCCGTCCTGCTCATGGGAACCTTCACTGCCTTCCTAGGACACCCTCCCTCCTCTTCTCCAGCCCTATCTCTCCATCTCAGCTCCCTTTCACCTTAATTTCTGGTTCCACACCAAAACTGAGGATGGATCCTTATTCCATCAGCATGTTTTCCCACACAGATATGGAAACCCTTGTGCATAGGAACCATGTAACTTCGTTATTGAAAAAATGTAGGGCTACAGCGGCCCATACAGTGCCCCTGCTCATATTATCAACAGATTCTGCTTCCAGGCCCTGTTTACCCCACTTGGTAACACACCCTTGTTCAGCGAACAATCTGTTCAACTATCCACTGCGGTCCTGAATGAATGAATGAATAAATGAACAAAAGAATGTTAGTATGATAAGTGAGAAGTTCTGAGGCAGAGAAAACATTTGAAATGAGAATGGAAGCCAGAAGAAGCTTGGTCCTGTTAATTTTGGAGTCACAGGTGAGTTATAAACTCTGACTGGTGGTTCTAACCACCCCTCCCTCTTGTTTCTCAGAAGCCAGGTTATTTGGCTCTTCCTGCCTCTCCAAACTCTTGTGGTCCCTCCTTACCCAAGGAACCTCGTGAGAAACTTGAGTGGTTTCTGTCCCAAAGACTGTGAGAAGCACCTGAACCATGAGCATGTGCAATGCAATTATGGGTGACTTTGAGGCTCAGAAAAACCCATAGGGCTCTGCTCTGCTCCTCTTTTAAGCCATGAGGAGACAGACGGGCAACTTGAGAGCATTTAACAAAGATACTGAGGACTGCAAAATACAACTGAGCCAGTCAAGTCCCTTAATGGGAAGGAGAGGAAATAGAAATAAATAGGTGGATCACCAGTCCCCAGGTGGGTGGGGCTTCTCTGTATGACAAGCCACTTTTTCCTGCTCTCTGTGTCAGCCAGGCTCCTTCCAGGCCCCAGCCAGCTTTCCCCATCTCTTTCCTCAAGCTCTTTTAGGAAGCAAGACTGAGAGCCCTGGGTTAGTCTTGACCAAACATCTACAAAGGGTTGCTTGTTCCTCTCTCCCCTGTGCTCATGAGCAAGTCGTGTAAGAAGCCAAGTCTCTGGGACTTAAAGGGCCCGAGGTAGGGAACAGACACAGAGGCAGCTCACGAAATGGGATTTGTCATGGATGCTGACCCTCCACACACAGGCAAGGCCTTGGAAAAATCCTGCCACCAGGCTGGCCACCTGCCAACTCTGAAGTCAGAGTTTTGAAGCCTTCCTCATCAGACAGGGAGTTCCTGAGCAGTGCCTGGATGCTGGATATACACCCCTATCAGGCTGGAGATCCTGGGGTGGGAGCTCACTATCAGACAGAGAGCAACACACAGGGGGCAGAGGCTGCCTGGTTATCGGGATTGGAGCTTCCTGGACTTGTTTTTCTCTCATCAGATTGGCCATGCACCTAGAAGTGCTAATAAGAAGCTGAGTGTGGTGGTGCACGCCTGTAATTCTAGCACTCAGGAGGCTGAGGCAGGAGGATCATGAGTTTAAAGCCAGCCTGGGCTATATAGTAAGAACCTGTCTCATAAAATCCAAAAAAGAAAGAAAGAAATAGCAGCAAGAAAATGGCTAGGGCCCATTTAGTGCTTATCACGTGCCTGAAACTTCTTTAATTTTTTTTTTTTTCAGTACTCAAGGATGAACTCAGGGCCTTAAGCACTCTACCACTTGAGCTGTGACCAAGTCCCCCAAATTTAATTCATATTAACGTTCATAACAGCACTGTGGAAGCCAGCAGTGTCCTCATTTTTTGCAGGAGGACACTGAGGTGTAGAGGTTGAATGATTTGTTCAGGGTTGCACAGTCAGAGGGTGGAGGCATGACTGTCCATCAGACTGAGAACAACATGAGGACAGAGACTATGTGCTACTTCATCCCTTCCAACAGATTAGGGACCACAATGGCCAAGATTGGCCAGGCCTTCTCTGTCCGCCCCATCTCTCTGCCTGGAGCAGAAACAGACCTTATTCGGGCTTGTGCCTGAAGTCTGGGTTGGGGCCAAGGAGTTGGCTGAACCACTCTGGACATAATTTCTGCTCCTCACAGCTTGAGTTGGTCCCCCAGAAATGTGCCCACTGGGCAGAGAAGAACCTGATCTTTGGTGATGGGGCATCTGTGGGGATGAGGGTCAGGATGTCAGTGTTTGCTCAATCCCTATCACAAGGAACATGACTTCCGGAGCCAGGTGTGGTGCTGCCCAATGAGCTGGGCATTTCCTTCTGTCCACAGCCCACCTCACTCCTGCCTGCCAACCCCAACAGGAGTCTCTGGAACTTAGCAACTCACAGGAAACAATGGAAACTTGGGTTTTTATTCTCCTCCCTTCATCATTACTCAAAAGGTTTCCCTTAAACACACACACACACACACACACACACAAAATCACACAAAGGTTTTCTCTCTACCCATTGGCCTGGGCTGCCTGGAAATTTTCAGGCAGAAGAGGGGACCTGAGTGCAGGCAGCAGAGAGGCCCCCAGCCTGGTGTGGCAGCCTGTGGACTGTGTCAGAGGTGGATCACTGGCTGTGATTTACTGCTGGAGCATCTGTGATACTTTGGCAGAGTCTGTCTGCGCCTGGGGCAGGGTGGGGGAGGTGGGGTAGATGTGGGGGAGTTGGGGTGGGAGGGAGGTTGCTGGTGCATCTCTGGCTCCAGGGTTGTAACTTACTGTGAATCAAATCTGGTCTATGAGTGACTCAAGTGGAAAATGTAAAATATACAGGCTGGTAAGCGTGTGAGAAAGGATGAAGCCTTCATGTGAAATATGAGTGTGTGAAGAATCTGTGTGTGAAAACATGTCCTATATACTTTGTGGCTTGTTGGGATGCCCATACGTGAGTCCATGTAAAACTGTGAAGCTGACTGTGTGTGAAGGTCGTGAAGGATTGGAAGTTTGCAAGTGTGCACGTGTAACTGCGTGCGAAAGTGCTCCTGGGTAAGGGATGAGAGTGAGGGCTGGGGATGCAACTCACTTGAGTCCTTTGGGTTGGATCCCTAGCACCACAAAAACAAACTTGATTTTCATCGAACCTAAGAAATTGTATTGACTGAGAAACAAAGTTGAAACAGGAACACAATAGAACACGCAACTAATTATATAAAGAAAGCTAAGTGTGAAAGTGTCCTTGGGAGTTACAGTTGGTGTGAGCCCGTGGCACAGGTGTGAAAGCAGCGTGCGTGTGAGCATGGGACCCAGATCCTGCGGGGTCCTTGAAAGCTGCCCGCGTGTGGGGTGGGGAGTGTGCAGAGTGGTGTCAGAGTGGAAATGGGAGGACCGCGTGGGTGCGCGAGATCCTGCTCGCGCAGAGGACCCGAAGCGGTTCCATCCGCACTCCAGGCCGCGGCGGGCGCGGAGGGGGCTGGGGGCCCAAACAAAGGCCCAGTCGGCAGCACCGCCCGCTTGGGCGAGCCCAGCCCGAGGTCTGGGGGGCGGGGCCTAGCGCCGCGGGGGCGGGGCCTGGCGTCGGGGACCGAGGGCCGCGGGGGCGGGGCGGGCGGCCCGGAGGCGGGGCGGACGCGGGAGGGGCGGGGGCGCGGGGAGCGGGCCGCGCTGTCCCGAGGACTCCACAGGACAGCGAGCGGGCGGCTGCAGGCGGCGCCGAGCGAGGCCGGGCCATGGGGCGGTGGACGGCGGGAGCGCTGCTGCTGGCGCTGCTGCTGCACGGACGGCTGCTCGCGGTGAGTGTGCGGGGCGGGGGGCCGGGGACGCCCGCCAACTTGGCAGGGCTGCTGGAAGCTGCGCGCTGGGACTCTGGCCGGGAACGGCAGCGCCCGCCGAGGACCCCAGGCTGGCACAGGCCAGCGCCACAATGAGGCATGGGGGCTGCCCCAGGGGACGCCCGGGGATCCTGCGTGGGGCCTGAGCGGGGCCGACCCTCGTGGAGTTGCGTGGGTCACCCGGCCACGTTGCTGAGGCTCTCTAGAGTCGCCCTGGGCATGGCCTGGCCTGCCATTCCTGGGGACCAGACAGAGAAACTTCCAGCAGGGTGAGAACTTGGCAGGGCGATGGTACCCCATTCCGCGCCAACTTGGCAGAAGGGGCACTCAGTGGTAATGGGGGACCCTGTCAGTCCTTGCTGGAACTTTTTACCACGCTGGCCATCCCTTTGGGGAGTTTGTAATCGGGGAAGTACAAGTAAAAACTTGAACAAAACTGAGGCTGCTGTGGAATACCGGACCCTAGAGTCATACAACCCAGGAGTTGAATCAACCCCTGCCCACCGCTGAGTGTCTGTGGCCTGGAGTGAGCTAGTTAACCTCTCTGGAACTCCACGTGGGTTAGGAGCAGTCAAAATGTGAAGCTCCAGGCTGGTTGGTGGCTTGAATGGAATGAGTCCCCATTACAGGGCCTGTTGGTGGTGAGCACCCTGTAGATGGACCTGAAACTGCCTAGCCTTCCTCTTCCCAGGTCTGGGGACAGCCTGCCTCTGTGGCCCAGCCCCCTGCTTTGAGCTCTGAGCTCTGATGGGCCCATAGCAGGAAGAAGAGAATCCTGGGTCAGGAATCCCAGGGCCTAGAAGGCATTTGGCAGGACAGGCCCTGAGGACCTGAGTGACCTGGAAGAGGGCTGGGTGGGGTCGGTGGGCAGGCAGCTGGTGGCAGGGGAGGGTGGGGCACATCTGGGTGAGCCACAGAGCCTCCCACCCTCTCCCCAACGTGCTTCTAGGCAGTCCTCATCCCTGCCCCCCTGTTCTCAGAGCCAAGAGTGACTTTTCCAACCCAGCCAGTATTTACCCAGTGACTGATTCTCTGTCCTTGCCTTGCTGGCTCTCTCTCACCTCTGCCCTCCTGAGTCACTTGTTAACACTCCCCCAACCCCGCTGCCCCCTCTCCAGAACTGACCCCTCACCATGCCTGCCTCACCTACCCAGCACCTCTTGATCTTCTGTCTGGCCTCTCACCCCATCACATCTAGCAGGATCCTGCACTTGCTGCCCAGTCTACCTGAACCTGCAGCTCCTAACACTCACTTTTACTTATCCAAGGCACTGACCTAGACCTGAGATGTCTTCCTAGCCCAGCAGTCTTTCCTGGACTTCCCCCAGCTCTGCCCCCTGATGAGGGGCTTCTCTGTGCAGGGGCACAATGGCAGTAGTGGTGAGTGGAGCTGTTTTCTGTGGGCCTGAGGAATTCCACAGAAATTCCCCCTGTTCCCGCTGATCATCTCATTCATTTGTTCATTCAACAGATTTTCATTGAGCGACATTCCATGACAGTTACCAGGAGTCCAGGGGTTCATTCATTGGGCAAATATCTGCCAAGCACCTACTGTGTGCACCGGCATGTGGTTGGGGATGGAGTTGTATGAGTGAGCCAGGACTAGCCCTTCTGTTTTTCCTTCCTGGGATTCACAGGCTAGTGGCCTTTGCAGTAACCACTGTCCCACCCAGGCTGATGGTGGGGGACTGGAAAGAACTTGACCTTGGGAGTCTTACAGACCCAACTTTGAATCCCAGCTCTGCCATTTTCTAGCTGTATCATCTGCAGCAAGATCCTCTCTGAGCCTGAGCTTTCACATCTGTGAAATGGGGATAGAAAATTTGCTGAGTCTTAAATGAGGTGGGGTTCCTAGCCAGATGTCCCAGCAGGCCTTGGACTCCTCCTTGTCTACTGCCCTTGATTTCTTCTGCCCTTCAGTTCACTTCCATGAGGCAGGAGCTAGTGGGGGAGGGTAGGACATAGGGTAAACTGGGAGTTAGAGAGCCCAAGCCTCACTAGGGGCAGGAGGCAGGACGGCAGGAACAGTGGTCTGTGATTATGTGTGGGAGTAATTTTGGTGCTGAGGGGTGGGGAGATTTGCTGGGGAAGGGGGCTGGGCCTGGGTGACTCAGGGCCTGTCCTGGCCTGCTGACCCTTTTCTTTCTGCTGGGGCTTTGGCCCTTCCTTTCCTAGGGCCAGCCCTGGAGGGGGCAGAAGTCTTGAGGGGGCCATGGAGGGGATGACGGTGCTTTCCAGGCTGAGGAGGGAAGTTTCTGAGATACCTGCTTCCTGCCTCAGCTAGATTTCCTTGCAAGGGGAGCCTCCCCTTCCTGGCAGGACCTCAGCCTTTCCCTCTACATAGCTGGCTGCCCTGTTCCCCCATGCAGCCTCCGCCTGCCTTGCTCCAGACCCTGCTGCAGAGATGGGATGGGGTGGTTTAAAATGCCCCAGGGATTCAGGAGGGAGGGAGGGCTGTAGGTCTATCACAGAGTGAGGCAAGGAGCGGAGGTGTCACTGCGCCCTCATCTCTTAGGCTGAGCTCCCAACATCTGAGGAGTTGTCCTGGCCCCACCTGGCTTGGCCTGGGCCTGTTCTTAGGCTGAGCACAGACAAGTCAGGATCTGTGGGCCTGAGGCCCTACCTGGGAGACAGTTTTAAAAAAAGGTGGCAGAAGGTGACCAGGTTTAGGGCTCGTAGGATGTGTGAGCACAGTGGTGGGGAGGCAGCTCTTGGGGTGCCTGGACAGGTGGTTCACATTTACCAGTACCACTGTCTGGGGGTGCTGTATTTCTTAGTGAACCCTCACAGCACTCCCAGCTCACCATCCTCCCATAGCGCTGAGCATCCATTCCAAGCCCCTGACTTCATACAGCCCACAAGGCCCTGGGAAAGAAACCTACCCCCCCATCCCCCTTCCCCCCCTCCCCTGGCTGCCCTCTCCTGCACTCCACAACTACGCCAGTCTTTGTTTCTTGACCGTGCCAAACACACTCCCACCTCAGGGCCTTTGTGCTTGCTGTTCCTTGTGTCTGAAACACTTGTCCTCGAATCCACGAGCCTCTGCTTCCTGCTTCCTTTTCTGCAGGTCCCCCATTCTTTTTGTGTGTGTGTGTGTGTGTGTGTGGTGCTGGCAAGACCCTAATCCGTGCTGTACCACTGAACTACACCCCCAGCCCTACTACTATATATTTTTCTAGTTACTATTAGACTCGTATTTATTTGTCCATTTGTTTACCTGTACTCTGCTGAGTTTAAGCTCCAGGCAAGCAGGATCTTATCCATCTTTGTTCACTGTTGCATCTTTAGCACCTAACAGGTAGTAAGTGCTCAGTAAATATACATATATACACACATATATGTGTATATATATATATATTTAAATCATTTCATTTTATTTTTTAATGCAGTACTTGGGTTTGAACTTAGGGCTTTGTGCTTGCTAGGCAGGTGCACTACCACTTGAGCTTCGCCTCCTGCACTCAGTAGACCTGTTTGTAGCTGTAGTTTCTAAGTGGGGTTTTCCCCCACCCCCATCTCTCAGCAGAGAAAGTAGAGGTGAAGAAGGGTTCAGGAATTTGCCCAGGGATTTGGGCACCTGAAGCTCTCCTGACCCGCTCTAGCTACGTCTGCCTCCCTCTGCCCACAGCCGGCAGGTGATAGCATAAGAACTCTGGCCCCAGGCAGCATAGGGGTTAGCTCAGGCAAGCAGCCTCGGTGTCCACGGGCCTCCTAAAGATGCCTGAACTGGACTCTGGGATGGCCTTTTGCAGGTTTGTTAATTCATTTCCTCATCATGTATTCCCTGGGATGAATCCAGGGCTTTCAGGCCTCAGTAGGCTGGGTGTGGAGGATGTGAGGAGTCTCTGCTCTTGCCCACTGCTGTCTGGTAAATGTGGCCTGGTCCCCCTGAGGCAAGCTCTTGCTGCCTCTCAAGTTGCTCCCTGGGGGTTTGAGGTGGAGGGTGGGTCTGCAGAGGCCTCAGGCTGCCTGACCTGGGGGTGAGAGGCTGTGTGGGGGGGGGGAGGACTGCTGAGGATGTGGAAAGATCTGGGTGATGAATCAGAGGCAACTTGGAGGCTAGACCTGTGGGTTCTGGACCCTCAGAACTTGGGAAGTGAGGGCCAGGCTTCTAGCCCTGGCCCGATGCCCTCTTCCCAGTCCAGACCCAGCTGTGAGGGTCAGGCTGTAGGAAAGGGGGGAGGATTGGAACCCAGCTTCCCAGTAGTGTCCTAAGGGTCTGCTGAGCCCACTGGTTCTGCCCCTCTCACTCCTGCTCCTGCAGGAGCAGGGAGCTGAACTGAGGGTCTGGGTCTTGCTGGAATGCTGCCCCAGCACAGACCTTGGCCTCTGTGTCCCTGCCACCCCCTCATGCTCTTAGGGCCCGGCTGGGGCCAACCGCCCAGCGCCCAGAGCTGGCTGACTGCAACTCAGAAGTATGTGTGGAACTCGCTCCATGGGGAGCCGCCAGCCTCACTACCCAGCCTGGTGGCGTCTGCTGTGTCAATAGCGGCCTTGAGAGGGGAGTGGCTTGTGGCTGCCGGGGGTGGCTAGGCTGGGGGTTCTGTCATGAAAGCCCTGAGAACAAGGTGGCTCTTTGAGGCCTGGGAATGTGGGCCTTCAAGTCTCAGCTGCCACCAGAATCCTGCTCCCCGCCTTCCCATGATACCTGCCTGGGCCAGGGCTGTGGGACCTCATAGCATCCTGGAGGCATCTGTGGCACCCAAGATGTCCTTAGGACCAGCTCCTAGCTCCTTACTAGAGCCCTTTCCCTGGATCATGGAGGAGGGCCCTCTTGCTATGGATATTAGGGACATCTGGCACACAAAAGCTCCCAATGTGCGTTGAATGAATGAATGAATGAATGAACCAATGATACATGCAGTTAGATATTCTGTAAACTAAAGTCCCTGGAAGGTGTGTGTTACACTTAAAATTCATTTGACACATACTTACAGAACATCTTTGATGAACCTGACCCT